AAGCCATAAAGCATTTATTACCACACGTTACCAAGGGGCTGCTCAGACAGAGTGGAGAACAGTTATTTAGTGTTTTGGCAGGAAAATCTGCCTCACAGAAAAAGCAGCAGCAGGAGTCTGTCATTGTGGTGAAGAGAGCCAGAGATCTATGTGACAAAGTTTCAGGGAAATGATGCTCTGCAAGGCATATTTTCTTTGTCTGTTTCATTTTTTTCAGGGGCAAAAGGGAAACTGAAATCAGGTATTCTCATTAGTTCCAGCTACAGAGTGGACAGTTGAGGAATGAGCCTTAACAATGGCAAATAACAAAATATCTTGCTTCTTGCCATCCAGAGTAATAGCTGTTCAGTTTCCAAGGTCCTAGGAGCAATTAATTCATGGGTCTATAAAGGTTGTTATTTTTGCCATATTTGAAACAGCCTAAAATTGTAGAAGATATTTGATATGAACCAAGATGCAGAATCAGTCACTCTTAATACTTTTATCTCAGTGAGTGAAACTTTTCTAAGTTCTTAATAATGGAAGAATAAAGTTGAAAAGAATTCCATCCTGCTAGTCACGATTAAATTAGCATAAAATTGACACTTAGTCGTTAAGACACATGCTAAAAAATAGAAAGTTTGGAACAGATTGTGTTGAGCAGTAATTTTAGACACCGTGCAGTAGAGTTCTATTCTGAGTTATTTAAAATTCACTGATATTATTGTTCCACTAATCCCAGCTTCTCCCCAAAGTATGATCTGGACAGATGGGTGAATCCTTCTCTTCTAAACAGTCTGGACTTCAAAGATGATTGACTGATAACTATGGATTCAAGGAGGGTGCCCTCTCTCTAGGTAGTCTTTCTGCTTGAAAAAAAGATATGCAAAGTTTGCAGACTCTTGCAGTCTACAGTACTAAAGAAATAGGGGGAAAGAAGCTCAAGCCCTATCTCCACTCTCATTTTCTCTTGTTAGCCATCCGAATAGGCCTTACACTGGGGAAGGGATGAAAATATGAGTGACAGAAAGAGACAGATGGCAGAACTGAGGGAAAATGCCATTGTTCTGGTGTCCTTTCAGTAAGGGGGTTACAGGAGTAGAGGCAAGAAGATACATGTAGCTTCACCAGCAGAGCCCAGGCAACACCTCTAAATAGTTCACAATGTGCATCACTTACCATGAGGCAATTTTTTTAGGATTGATGTATATGCATTAATCAGGCAGTGGAAGGAAAAAAAACACTTCTAGTTCTCTTCTCAAGATGATGTTTCCCAGACATCCTTGCCATTTCTTGTAACAGTCGTATTGCCAGCAAGATTCCCAACCTATCCCAAATGGAAGTACTAACTTGTCTGTGGATCCTCCAGGAAGGGTTACTAACAAGTGGAGCAAAGCAGCGGGTCCCTTCAGATTAATGCTGTATCTTTTGCATAGATCAACAGACTCATTGGAATACTTAGCAGGGGTGTGTAGTAACATTGTTTGAGTTGAGGGAAGCATATCTTTATGTTCTAAACCATTAAACCTTTAAGGTTGGCAGGTGTCTCACCGTGTTTTCTGTATGGCTCATAAAGATTATCAGATCAGCTTCAACTGGATGTTGAGCCTGCAAATCTAGTTCAGGGTTCTCATTTTCTGTCTTGTTATATTGGATGGTGCTTCCACTGTGGAAAATATTAGCTTCTGGGGAGCCTTGAGATCTCCCTTTCTTGTTGAAGGAGGGTAATCCAGGAAGCAGCAAGCCATCTATGAAAATGATTTGTCTGGACTTCCGGTCTATGGAACAGCGATGGCGGACGCTCTCCCCACAACGGGGAAGAGCGAATCGCACACCAGCGGCCTGGAGGGGTGGCCACCTCAAGTGACACCCCCACGGAGCCTTTGTGATAGGCTCCAGGCCAGGGGGCTTTTGAGGGGTAGCCTCTTCGAGAATTGAGGCTTCCCTCCACCCCGACGGTCCAGTCGCTGAGTGGCCTTTGAGCACAAGCTGGACTGACCGGGACAAGCACCGGAGATCGAGCGGAATGGCGAGCAACCGAGCGTGGTCAAAAATTGACTGACAATGAACGTGAGTTCAGGAAAAACGGAGGAGTTTGAAAAGCGGCACCCCCCCGCGTGCGCGGTTGAAAAAGTGACTGCAAAGAGGGACACCTCTTATGCGAATGAGCGGATAACGGATACGAAGGGGGAGAGGGGAGGAAATAAACCAAAAGTGTTTTGAGAGACTTATCTGAATTGCGAAGTTGTTTGGCAAGTTTTCCGAGTGGCGTGGAGGCGGTTGAAACTGTAAAAAAACCCGAAAGATGGTGGCCCAGCAGAGAAAGTTTAAAACGAAGCCGGGCAGTCAGAGTCCAAAACCGGAAGAGGGAGCAGATGTCTACAAACTCCTGGTGGATATGCTTAAGCCGGTGATGGAACAACTCGATGGTATTAACCAGCAATTGATCGTAATGAATAAAAACTTTGCAGCACAGCAGCTTCAGCTGAACGAAACGGAGAAAAAAGTGGAACAGGCAAATGAGAAAATAAAAGAGATAGACACCACAAGCAAGACGTTGAAGAAAAGATTGGGAGATGTGGAAACGAAGCAGAATTGCCAAGAGAATCGAGTTTTGCAGCTGCAGATGGAAAAAGCTAACATGATTCTCAGGTTTCAGGGAGTTCCTGAAACGGATCGGGAAGACTTGAAGAAGGTGCTCAGTGAGATTATCGCTCCAGTAATGGGTTTAACAGGGGAAGAGCTTGTAAACGAAATGGAGTCAGCCTATAGGGCATACTCCAATTACATTAAAAAATAGCCTACCGGGAGAAATAGTGGTCAGGTTTTGAAGAAGACAAACTAGAGATGCCATTCTAACAGCAACATCAGCAACTCCACTGAAAATGGGAAATGTAAGCATTAAAACTTTAAAGGACATTCCATTTGAAATCAGACAAAAGAGGAAAAATTACAAGGACTTAATTTATTTTCTTCAAACTAATGGAATATTGTACAGATGGGCGGTGCCGGAGGGTGTCATCTTTAAGATCAACGATAGAAGAGAGAAGATAGATTCCACTTTTAAAGCTAAATAATTTTTGAAACGTCAGCTGGGGACAGATGATGAGTCTAGAGAGGGAGAATCGAAGTCTAGTGACTCTGCTACCTCGGGAACGGAAGAGGATTCTGCAGCAGAAAAGGATGCAGGACCTGCCAGAGTGGTATACGATTTTAGAGACAGAAAGCCGAAGTAAAGGCAGAAGGACTTGGAAAATAGCCTTTTGAAGCGAAGAATAAGAAGGTGATCAGAGACTTCTCTCATAACAACTAACAAAATAACATATAAATAGCGAACTGTTATAAGCAAGAACTCTACAAGTATATTGTGATACTAAAACTAATTGTACTAACATTTTTACTAACAGTGAAAAGATCTCCTCCTCTTGGGGTTTTAGTTTAGTGTGGTTTGCTTTCCTTTATCCTTAGCTGTAGTCCCTTTCCTAATATTTCTTTGTAGTTTTGGTAGTATTTGCAAAATAAAAAATATCCCTCCGGGAATTTAAAAAAAGGAAAAAAAAGAAAGTGATTTTTCTGAAAGAACTCTGAGCAGTATCACTCAGCCATGTCAATTACACACTAATCTTTCCTAATTTAACTTCAGAATATCCAATCCAAAGCCTTTTATTGGCATATAAATAAAAATACAGTAATCTAAGTACACACAGAGTCAAATTAAAATTGCCGAGTAACATCACAGAGTATCATCATAAAGAAAAACCTAATTCATCATATCATTTATCAGGCCGTAGAGCCATGGCACTGCAGAGAAACTTTGCTGTTATTTCAGTTATTTCTGTGTCTGTGTTATCGAGCAAGAAAAGAAGCTTAAAATCATCAGGGGACTCTAAAAACTGGCCTAATATGGGATATAGAAGCTCCCGACGGGACGCCAAATAGAGAGGGCACTGGAAGAGAACATGGGCAACAGTTTCAACACAATCCTTCCTACAAGGACAGCACCTGGTAGGATAGGGAATCCCTTGGAATCTGCCAGATAAAATAGCTGAAGGAAGAACATTAAATCTAGCCAAGGATATGGCTCTACGCAAATTTGGAGCTATGAGTTGATAGAGGTATACTGCTGGAAGATTTGCATTAGGAATAATCCCCAGATGTAAGGGAGAATATCAAGGTGGTGATCCTGTTAACCATATGGCCTAGCTTTACAGGTGCTGGTTTTTGAACTTTATAGACTGCAAGCAGTAACTGCCTGTAATGCAAACACCTCTGCAAGTATACCTCTTTCATATTCTCCATAAGTAGGTCTCCTCCTATAGAGCAACAGCTGATTACGTGATTTTACCTTCCACAATAAATTTACCCTCCCTTCTACTGAACTCATGAGCCTGAACTCATACTTCTGCCCCCAGCATCTGACCCTGACAGCACCACAGAGCGGAGTATGCTTTAGAAGGTAATGTCAGGTTAAACACAGTACATTCTTGGGAGTCTAATCCAGGAGGCCTATTGAGGGGAATTGTTTTGACCTTATACTACCCTATTCTGCCATGTGTTAAGCATGTGTGTATTAGTATATTATAATTTCCAGTAGTTAACTAGTTTGAATAGTTAAAGTAATGTTAATAACCTCTTTTATAGAAAGTGTTAGATCTTTCGGCTTTAGTATGTAACCTAGACAGCTTCCTTTCTCAGTTTCATTTGCCTGTCAGTCATCTCCGAAGTTATAACTATTGGATGCACTAGAGAAGTCTTTGCCAGATGACTAGATTGTACTCCTGTGGAGAAGATAGATGGGAAACTCATCTGTTCAGAAACTACACCTTCATTTTCTTTCTTGACCAAACTTTGCCAAAACAAACAACCACAGTAGCTAGTGCAAAGTTATGTAAAGAGTAAAGTGCTTCTAGGTGACAGATTCTGCTGGAAGAAAGTATACAACAAGACAAAGATGTTGTTCAGTCTAACTGCTTGTTTGTTCAATGAGTTTCAAGGTGATTTGCCTCCTTTCCTACCCCTAGTCTATGCAAGAGAAACTTTTGCAAGAAAAACTGACAGTCCAGAAGCTGAAAAGTGAACTTGAAGAAAAGGATAACAGTATACAGCAGTTACATAAGACTCTGCATGAAGTAAGTTTTTTGAAATCACAAGCAGACTTAATGCTTGTGATTTCTTGCTCCATTATTTTTACGCATCGCAAAAATGAGTTCCTGCATTGGGGCAGAGGGATGAGGGCAAGCCAGTTTTTCATGTCATCTGACTGAGAACCAGCCCTTTCCTTTTCACAGTTATTACAAGATAGGAGAGATGCTGTCTGTGGTTCCAACATATTTATGCACACAATGATATATGTTCAAATGTTTCCAGGACCAGCACTAGCATCTTTTACATCACCTTCTAGAAGTAGGGAAATGGCATCTGGATTTAGTCATAGAACCTCAAATAAGATAATCTTGACCATTGTTTATTTAAAACATTTATTAGCTGCCTTTCTCCCTTGTGGGACTCATGGTGGCTTCCAATATGAATAAAATGACTATAAAACCGCAATAACAAACAGTATGAACAATTATAAAAAACATAAAAGTTCACAATTTTGAAACTCCAATTAGAACTTCCAATAATCAGCCAAATGCAGTTGTAAATAAAACTTGTCTTCAACTAATTTCTGAAGATCGAGATAGTTCCATAATCTTGGAGCTGCCACAGAAAAGCCCCCCCCTCGTATGCCCATCAGACAAGCTTCTTTGATTGGTGGGATAGTCAGGAGGGCACCTCCCCACAATCTTAATTCGCGGGCAGGAACATATGAGAGAAAACAGGCCTTCAGATACCCTGGTCCCAAACCATGTAGGCCAGTGGTGTCAAGCATGCCTTTCTTTTCACTGGTTGAAGCTTCTCCCTGAAGGGAGGGAGGGAGCGAAGGAGAGCTTGCTTTGCTGGGCTGTCTCAATCGCACAGCGGAAATGCCAGGCACCTTTAAGACCAACAAAGTTTTGTTCAAGGTATGAGGTTTTATGTGCCTTGCTACAGTGTGTGTGTATTCTGTTGGGCTCCTTATGCTGTGTGTGTGTGTGCGTTTTGTTGGGCTCCTTATGCCAGGGCTCACCTGGGTGCAACTGGGTTCCCTCCCCCTTTTCACTGTGTTCATGCTCTCATGATTCAGTCTTTCTCAGTAAGAAAGCAATGTGAATTATTTTAGAGGAGGAATAACAACAAGCCAGTGAGGTGGATTAAGCTGTGTGTGTCCAGACCAAGTTCACCCAGCACATTTCCTTTGTAGGAAGTTGTAGTTATTTCTCTGGGGAAGACTATAGTTTTGTAGACAAACATTTCATGTTTTCCCCTGGGTCCTAGGCTCAGAACACAGAGCATGAAATTTCTGTAGTGAATGTCAATAAATCAAAAGTAGGTTTGCAGGTTACAGATTCACACCTGAACAGCATACTCAAAATTACTACAGCACAGATATTTTGATGCAGTAATTCAGAGCAAGAGGTGTCAGTTATCAGAGACTGTTAAATAGACAAAATACTGCAAGAGTGCTAGAGTTTTAAGCATGTTTTATTTAAAGTTTTAAAACATCTTTAATTGTGTTTGTCTGTGTCCTTTATAAAGTTTATATCTCCACTACCTGGCATTACATTTTGTGATACACATGGCCTGGCCCAACAAGTTCTCATTTATGTCAGATCTGGCCCTCATAACAAATGAGTTCGACACCCCTGATGTAGGCCTTTAAAGGGTCAAAATCAGCACCTTGAATTGGGCTCAGGAGTAGTTCAGTAGCCAATGTAATTGCTGTAGTATTAGGATCATATGCTCTTGGTAGCTGGCCCTGACAATGCTGCAAATTTGGTGCCTCTGCCTCAAAAAACAGCCCCCCCCAGGCCCCAAGATACCCTTGAATTGATTCTCCATTATAGTCTATGGGGCCTATTGACCATAATGGTCCACATAGCCTATATTGGAGCTGGAAAATATAGATTTTTTTTTTGCACACCCATTATGCTTTTCAGTATGATTTATAAGCTGCCTTGAATGACAGGAAAAGTGGGATATAAATATTTGAATAAATAAGTAGTTTGGGCAAGTTGATAACATTTAAGCAACTTCCTGTTTGTTAGGTTAGACAGGATTCTAACATTGATTGTTCCACCTCTGTTATACTTCACCCGTAATTTGTCATATTTCACAAAAAAACAAAAAAAACAACCAAAGTAGACTTCAAGAGTCCCCCCCTCCCCAAGTGCTGGTTTTCTAAGGCTCAGCGCAGGGTGACAGTTCGAGGCAAGGTCTGCCGGTATAGTGGACTGGGGTAGGTAAACCTGTTCTCTGGAGGCCTGGTCTACCCCCATAGAGGACAACATTTTCTGTAATGAAATATGACTTGATTCTGTTTTCTCTTATAATGTTCAAATTATTCTTTAAAATATAGTTTCAATATAGTTTAAAAGAATTAATTCTGAGATTTTTACAAGGTTATGGAAATAATCTAAAAAATTAATTTATGCGATAGCCAAATGTAGACTCACTCACAGCTTTAATACTACTAGCTTTATTCGCTCATGAGGTACAATTGTTGCTTACAACACTGTGGAGCTTAGAGGGAATATTGATCCTTGGAACTGTGAAAGCTATCACCTGTGGTCCAGCTTTGTGTAATGGGACTCCTAATCCAGAAACAGTAAATGACTTGTTACTGAAGAGGTCGTTCCAAGGGCCTTGAGAGACACAGTCAGCACACCTTTATTGAAGAAACCTTCTGCAGATAAGCATCTGTTAGCCAACTACACACCTGCGTCAAATCTGCCTTTTCTAGGAAAAATTATTAAATGGGTTGTGGTGGAACAGCTCCAGGTTTACTTGAATGACATATGTGCCCATGACTTTTTAAATCAGGTTTTAGGCTTGGATTCGGAAGAGACAGCTTTGCATCCCCTGCTACTTTTATTAGCACTTTCAGCAATTTTTGACACCATGAACTTTACCATACTGCTGAAATGCCTAGAAGAAGAGGTGAGTGTAGGTGCAGTAGTATGAAAATGGTTTAGTTCCTTTAACAGGCCATACTCCAAGGGTGATAGTGGGAGGTGCAGAATCAGATGAATGGGATGTGCACTGGGGAATCTTCCAAAGATTTATGCATTCTGTTTATTAATGTTATCAGCCTTGGGTTCTGACTGTCAGGTGAAAGGTGGGATTAATTGATACTCAAATCAATAGCTGGTTTACAGATTGAAATGGGAAGAAACCAAGAGGATTTCTTCTGATCCCCCAGGTACAGTAAATGATACAGGGAAGATATATCATGATCAGTCATTCACTATAATTCCTTGTTTGGGATTTTGTGCATTGAAATATCTGCATATTTGAGTAATTTTCTGGTAATAGGAAATGTAGGATAAGGTGAACATAAGATTTGTCTTGCTGGATTACAGCCAAGCCCACACAGTCCAACATTCTGTTTCAAAGAATAGTCAGCCAGATGTCTTTGGAAGCTGTGAAACAGGACACTATGGTGATGGTTGCTGTTTCCCCCTAGTGCCTAGTTCTCAGAGGTATGCTGCCTATGAACAGAGTGGTTTCATTTAACTACTGTGGCTAACACCTGTTGATATATTGGTGTACAGTTTTTTTCCAGCAAGTTAATAAAATGATGGGTTTTTTTCTACTTTTGTCTTTTTAATGAAGAACCAAAGATTTATGGAAGAAAATGCCTCTTTGAGAGAACAGATTCATCAGATGGAACAGTCCAGACAGCCAGTGGCTGAGAAACTGCCTGTGGCTGACCAGTTGTTCAAGGAAATGGCTCACTGTTTGTTTGACTTGAAAGCACTTTGCAGTATTCTTACTCACAGAGCTCAGGGCAAGGAGCCTAACCTGTCTTTACTGCTGGGAATCAGATGTAAGTGAAATTAACAAGATTAATATTGCATTTTCTTTTGACATTAAGATGCCATAGTCTCTACAATTAAATTCCATGGGTTTCATGGGGAGAGAGAAAGGAAGAGAATTAAAAGATGCAGCAGATTGACTTATGGTTTCTAGTTATCGTATAAAAGACAAAATAGACATTTTCCAGTTTGGCATGTAGTCCCTCAAGAGTTGTTCTCAGATTTCCTTCTTACATGCCATGTCCAAATCAGAACTTTGTTACACCACCAACAAAACAGCAATGTCCATGTACAATTATAGGTAAGTATGAGAAATAGTGCGGTGTAGTGATGAGAGTGTCCAAACAAAAGATTGGGTCACACAGGTTCAAATCTCCACTCTGCCATGGAAACTTGCTGGGTGACTTTGGACCAGTCAGATGCACTCATCCTAACCCAGCTCATAGGGTTGTTGTGAGGATAAAATGAAGGAGAGGAGAATGATGTAAGTTGTTTGGGATCCCCATTGAAGGGAAATAGATGTATGTAAATCCCATCAAATTCCCACCAGTTTATGGTGACCGCAGCAAAGGGCTTTCAAGGCAAGTGAGAAGTAGAGATGATCTGCCATTGCATTCCTCTGCAGAGTATTGAGGAGAGAGGTGAGGTATTAATGAAGTAAAAATAAGTAAGTAGGATGGTGGTATTGTGAGCCTTTTCCCTACTCTAAACCGTATATTATGGCTTGGATCCCACTTAGATTTCCATGGGCAAAAGTAGAGGGAGTTTTTGCTGGTCTCCCTTCCATGGAGGCCTTCTCCTAATCTTTTCCTGGGATTCCCTCGTCACGCAGGAGCAGGATGGGGGGGGGGCCTGCCAGGAGAGGGATGAATTGGTGGGAGGAGAACCATGTTGGCAGAAATCTAGGTGGGATCCAAGCACATGTGATGCAGAGAAAGTATGCCATGGCATCAGGCAATACTTCAGCTTTTGTATGAGCTTCCTTCCCAATTCTAGTTTTCCTGTTACTAGGAGGCGCAGAGATGTGGCATTATTGCAGATGATTTAAGTGTCCAGCAGTCAGTATTGTCCACCTGTGCCCTTTTCCCAATACCAGATTTACACATTAATGTCCATAAATGCAGTCTTATTATTTTCCTCTCAATGTTACACCCTAGCTTAAGCAAAGGAGGCAACTAAATCTGTACTAGATGGGACAAATGGTTGTAAGTTCCATGGTTTCAGACCCTCTTATCAGTTCACTGTTTAAAGACACAAGCTACTTGAAAAAGAATTTCCTATGTGCTCATAGGAAACCATGAACTCTGCTTTCAGATCTTTGTATCTGCCTCGAAAGAGAAAACTTGTATACAACACAAATATATCCATATATTTGTTCCCTATCTCCAGTTATGGGTGTGTTTTAATAAAGAATATCTGCAAAATGGAAGCAGTTCTTAGAAGCCAAATCCTCCTGTTAAATTAGGTACACCGAAGCTTTTTGGCAGCCTAATCTGTATATTAAGAATTACTTATTGGCAGTGTTGAAAATAGTTTCCAGGGTTGTATGGATTGGAAAGAAAGGTGGCTTTTAAAAATATAAAAGTACAAGAGGGGACCTGCAACAAAATGTTGTATTGAGTTTCAGTTTACAAACATACAAAACACAAACACCTTTTCTATTCCTGCAATCTGAGGCTAGACAGCTCCCAGCAATAAGGGACAGCTCCCAGTTTCAGAAGATTGTCCTGGAACTTCCCACCACAGTTGCCTATCCACATACAATGGCACATTCCAAGCCCCTGCAGTTAAAGAAAGGGGAAGAAAGAATGGGAAAGAAAGGGAATAAACAAATGGAAAGGAAATGAATGAATGAAAGAAAGAAGAAATGGAAAGAAATTAGGAAAGCAAATAGATGGTGAGAGAGGAAGGAATGAAGCCCCGGGATCTCCCCAATCCTGCACGCAGCCTCTCCCCCCCCCCCCGATCCTGGATGCAACTTGGGCAATCCGTGGTCCCACCACTGCCGCTACCCTCCCCCATCCTTCCCTTCCCACCTAGGCCAGCCAGCAGCCTTCCCCCCCCCCAACAGATCCTGGATGCAGTTTGGGCAATCCCTGGTCCTGCTGCTGCCACTATCCTCCCTGATCCTTCCCTTCCCACCAAGGCCAGCTAGCGGCCTCCCCTCCCCCCCCAAACAGATCCTGGACACAGACTGGACAACTCCCGAGTCCCGACCCCGCTGCTGCCGCTACCCTCCCTCATCCTTCCCTTCCCACCCAGGCCAGCCAGTAGCAATGGTGGGGAGCCTTGTCTGGCTGCCAGCTGTCAGGCCCGCCGAAGCTCCCCCCCCCAACAGTGGCAACAGCAGGGAGCCCTGTCTGGCTCCCAGCCGCCAGGCCTGCCGAGACTTCCCCCCAACAGCAGCAATGACAGGGAGCCCTGTCTGGGTCCCAGCCACCAGGCCATCGAGGCTTCTCTCCCTGATGGTTTGTGTGGTAGCGTGTCCTTGCAGCACCAACGGCTCTTCTCAGCGGTCATAGGGCCAGCGCAGGTAGCGGCGCAGCTTCCTTTAGGTGGATCAGTAAGTACGTTCTCTGTGCATGTGTAGAGAACGCTGTTTTACTTGGGGGGGGATTTAAGTATCCCCCGTATATTTTTTTAAACATGTCCAATTTTTCTGCACACCTGGGGAGTGCCCCAAGTGTACAGGAATTTCTGTTGAGGCTCCACATGCTCCCAATCTCCAGAAATAAATATCCACATGCATAACAGACCCTTGGCTATTAGATATATAGATACTAAAAAGGGGCACTTGGCTATTAGATATATAGATACTAAAAAGGGGCACTAGCAAAGTCAGCAAAAAGTTGACCTTTCGGGCAGGAGAATGAATTTACCTATACTCTAGATTACATTATATGTTAATTTTTCCTTTAAATGTTTTTGGGGGGGGGGGGTACATGTATCTTATATCTGTGTGGCTCCTTTAAAATTCCAGTAACCTACTGAGAAGCACCCCCAAACTCTTCAAGTGCTGCTAGGTCTGATGAAGTTGTAGTGTACACATTACCCAAAAGTGACATTCTTCACATTTATAACAAGCACAGACAGAGGAATTCATCTACTGTTTGACAAAACATCACTTCCTGAAGAATCCATCCTTCCATTGCACATTTGACCATCTGAAATTAGCTTGACAAAAGCCCCATCTCTCCCTCACCAGATTGTCATTTCAAGGCATTTTAATGGGAAAATGTTGTATTTTTATTGTTTTTCCCTTTAGCTCATCAAAACAAATATTGGCCTTGAATATTCAGTACAAGATCAGGTGTGTTGTGGGGTTTAGTTTGCAAGATAAATATAGTAAATCCCAGCCCTGTTTTGTTTCATTTTTCACAGCAATGAACTGCTCAGCGGAAGATGAAAGCTACCACAGCACAGAAACCCTCTCAAAGAAACTCTCAGAGGTCTGTCAACTACGAAAGGATATTGATGAGTTGAGGACTATAATATCAGACTGTTATGCTCAGGACATGGGAGAAAATTGCATTACACAGTGATAAAAGGTTTGTCCTCACAGCAACAGTGACTAAGTTATTAAATGCTGCTCTTGTGGTAGTTCCTTGTATTTCTGTTATGGAGCCATACTGGAAGACACACTCTTGTGTAGCAGGTCAAAGGATTTCAGATGGTTGCTCATGTTGACGAAGCAGGCATCAATTGAAGAATATGGTACGTGCTGTTAAGAGAAATTTGGTTTCTTCAAAACTACTGAATGTAGGTCCAAGCTGTGAAGAATGTGCTACTATTGATTGAAGTACAGGATTTTGTTTCTTCTCTCATGACCTGTAAAAATAACGGCTCACATTGTATTCTGGAGTCAGAATTACTGCTGCATCATTTCCCCCCATCTAGCAATAGCATGGGATATGAGATGAGCTCTGAGAATCCTACTGTGGAAAGCAGTTTAAAGTTCCTGATTACCTGTGGGCATTATATCTGTGAACATTAATATGGATGCTCCTACAAAGCATTGTGTACTGTGGGCAGGCACTGAGATAGTTTTGGCATGTTAAATCAAAGCAGCCTACCTGTTTGCCATCTTGGTTTGGTAATGACTATTTTTTCCCCCAACAGTCAGTTGTCAAGGATATCAGTATTTTTCTCTTGAACAAAGCAGAGCAGAACCACCTATATTTCAGGCTAAGCATAAGTTGTTCTTAAAATTAACTGCCATACTATTAGCTTTTTTGAGCTGTATTAGAGTTTGATGAAGGCTGTTTGAGAGATGAATACATAAAGACTAGGAAAGATTTGTTTTTTTAAAAAGCACATACCACTAGAGGTTAGGAGAACATTGCATCTTGTCAGTTATTCTGCATTTCAGGCATGTTCAGGGACTCATTCTGAGCAGATTAAAAATCTAGAAAGAAATGCTTTCTGTCCACAAGAACAGAAAGCAGCTAGAGAGATGTCTAGGAATGCTCCAGATCTGACAAGTGGGTGACCAAAAGCCACTTTGTAATCTAGACATTATACTGATTTATTTTGCTGCACTGAAGCAAATATATCCTTTGCCAAGCCAAACTTGCTGTCACTTTATTCTGTGACAATCAATTAAGTACAGAAATTGAACACTTTCTTTTAGAAGAGAGAGAGGAAAATAAGGTGCATTTGGCTTATTTTTATTACAACTAGACCCAGTGTTCAGAGGGCTTGAGACTGGTTTTGCCAGGTGTCCTGGCTCAGAGTGAATTAAGAGTTTGTACTGAATGAGTTGCCATTTTCTGTTTCTTGTGTTAATCTCTCCATAAGCCATTTTTATAAGAGTATCAACTTTGGTTTTGATTTTTTTCCAAATGTTGTGTGAGTTATGTTTAAATACCATGTGTATATTACTGTAATTTTTTAAAAAAAATGTTGGTCATTTTTTCCAAAGGTATAACAAGCTTTATTTATTTAAATAGGTGTTCCTTGTTACATTGTTCTGGCTTCTGTTTGTGGAAGTTTATTTTAACTACTGTTCAGTGTTTTCAAGTGCAGATTTGTAAGTATTAGATTGAAGCAACTTTAAGCATGAAAAACAGTGTTCTATAATGTTCAGTGAACTAACAGCCAAAACTCTAAAGTACTATGGCTTCCGTCCTAAGTGTAGTCACTAGAATGTAAGGCCAGCTTAAATCTGTGCAAGTCCAACTGAATAGCACTTAAGTTTAGAAGTGGACTATGAGTTTGTTTCAGTTTAGGCAAGTGCTTGAACAGACAAAAATAAGTTTTTATAGATTAAGTTTTATTTCAGCAACCAATCAAAAGTGAGAGAAATGCTGTTTCAGAGATGAAGGTTCTGCATTATTGTTTTAAACAACTTTTTCCATTTATATCTTTGGATTGCTCCAACAGTGACATTGTTTATGATACTTTTGCCAAGAATTTGGCACTGCAACTGCACTGTGGAGCAAAAAAAAAAAAAGAATATTTGAAAGACTTGAGGATGTACCTACTTTATGTAAACAGTACAGTTCTTGGACAAAGAAATGAGGTAATTTCATTTTTAAGAGAGGGCCATCAGTTGTCAGGCTAAATAAGACAGGCCTCAGCTTAACTGCACAGATCCTTTCCTATGTCTTATCACCGTCATTGCTTGTAGAAGATAGCAAATTTAGAAAGTTTTGGAATTAGGACTATGTTGCATTTTTAGGGCAAAAGAAGACTGAACTGGGAAAAGTTTCAGGACACCACTCCACTCACCCACCCTTCATTTACCTTCTTTCACTGCCACTTTACCCACACTTCTTTCCCTTTGGTGTCATTTTTTGTTTAGAACAACCTTCATCCTAAAACAGTTGGGTACCACACAAATAACACAACAACATCGTGTCATCACAAGCAGATCAGGCTAACATTGTAATCTAAGTTAGACTAAGGGCCATGTTGCCTGCCCTCACTCTGAATAGGGGAACATTCCGGTTCTGCAGGGGCTTCCAAAAATATTCTGCCCAAAATGAGTTTGGTGGGGGGAGGGATCACAAATTTTGGCTAAGTTCTGCTCTGTCAGAATTTCTGTTTTATTTCTTTTGTTTAGCATTTCTCATTGTAGAAGTAGTTGGTGTTGTTGTTTTTTAAAAAAATTTAGATCAGCTGTTTGGCTTTGACTGAATATTTTGGAGCACTTGACTTTTTAAAGACTGACCACTAGAAACAAGAAAACTGCATTAGTCCTTGGCAGAATCAAGAAGAAAACATCCAAAGGTGCTATAGAAGATGACTGTTACTTTTGAAAATGATCCAGATTTTGCACTTGCTGCTGTTTGTCAAGGGTATTAAAATACAGGGGTACATATACATTAAGAAGAATGACTTTGGTTATCGTTATACATAATACATTAAATAATATGTATGTGCAATACAATATAAAACTACCAGTCTTATCTAAACAGAATTTATAAAAAAGTATTTTCCTTAGGGGTAATAATGGAATAATTATGCCATTTTAGATTGTATGTATATATACTGTATTTATAAAATGCCTTGGGGACCTTTGGGTAGAAAGAGAGAGCTTAATAAATACATCATAAATAATATATCTCTAAAAGAGCAGCAAGCTCAAAACACACTAGGCCATTTTCTAAAAGTAAAGTCCTCTAGAGCACTTTGGATGCTTTGTTTGCAGTTGTTACGTTGTGATTAACCAGATCAGGCACATAAATGCTTGTTCAGAGGAGAAGGGTGATTTGGGTTCAGTGCCAACCCTACCCTCAAGAGTTGACTGATATTGTCAGAGCTTAAGGTGCCAACCGTCTGTTCAGATATCCCCACCTGGTCCCAATCCAGCAAAGAGGTCAGAATATGAGCACAGCCTTGAGTGCTGGAGGCAGGTATACAGCAGTGGCAGCTGCACCACCATATTCCTTCCAGTGCAGGAGAAAGCTTGTGATTATTGGTGACTAGTGTTTTTTGCCTCCGTCACAGTAAAGCAACTAAAGAAGGTGGTATCCAAAGACATAAATGACATGAGCAAAATCAAATGAGCCATAAAAACTCAGATTTATTTTGTCCTTGGAATTAATTTCTTAAAATAGGACCTGCTGTTTAAGAAGCCAAAAAGCCTACCAGTTTACAGTGTCCTTTAACTGGGTTAAATGTAGTGTAAGATGTGTGGTGGCTTTTCAGCTGCTTAAAATATATGTCTGGTCCCATTCAGTACTTTTAAGAGAGAGAAAATGTTAATATTAAAAATTGCATTAATTAATAAGGTGATTTAGTCATGACAACCTTTTGCCACACCTGTAAGAGACAATTTCAAGGGCTAAAAATATGTTTTACTGTTGAAAAGACAGCACACAGTTTTGTCTGGTAATGAGCATGAAGATATATGTAGTGGTAATTTTCATATTGCAGGTTGAATTTATAGAATTGTGTAGATGACATGTTTTAGTAACTACTGTAATTCAAGAATGTATTCCATAAAGCAGTTTGAGAAGTTGTGGTTTTTGCAGATAAATGATGCTATTATTTATATACTGGATAAAATGTACATACAGGTGTCATTCAAGTTAGTTGAGCAAACTTGACTTTACAGTTCAATTGGTTTCTTAGTTGCAGTCCTGCACAGTTCTACTTTGAAGTACTCAAAATAAGCCCCAACTCAACAAGACTTTCTAATTATTGTGCGTAGGATTTGGTGTTAATTTTTTAGCTTTTAATGTGTAGGTTTAGAAGCACAGTAGAGCTGTATTTTATTTAAATAGGTTGCCACTGTCACCCACTCAGGTTAGAGACTTTTGAAAAACATAACAACAGAAATAACTGTACGAACCAAAGTTATTTTTGTCATCTGTTACTGTGATTTGTTATGATTTTCACTTTTCTGAAGGAAATGGACAGGAATTATTTTTGCCAGATTCCAGAATGGGAAAGAGGGGGAATGCAAAGCAAAATATACATCCAGTTTTCTTTGTGTAATAACCCAACTGGAGGTGCAGCTGACTCAGTCACAGAACCCCACATTTGTCTTCCACTAATGCCTCTGTAAATGTGTTTATTTCATCATATAAATTAGATACAGCATTCTGGATTTGGGTTAACTTTGTTCTAAAATGAAGGAAAAGTTACTACTTTGGAAAAAGACAGTGGATATTAAAAACTGGGTGACCGAATCAATACATCAAGATCCCCTTTAGCAATATTAATTCCACTGTTGTGTACCTCTGTGCCTTTTATTTTGCTTACTGCTCAAATAATAATCTCATTTTTGAAAATTTTGAGGAAGTATCAAGTTGTTGCACTTTGTTTCCTCTGCGCAGGGATTTTTAGCTTGTTGAGCTTGTGAGAAACAACTTTCATAAAGAAAAATATTTTATACAATCTGTGGGTCAACCTTGGAAAAGGCAGTCTGGTGTTTAATAACCAGTTTTTCTGTATATGGGTAACATGCAGGAAATTCAGTCAGAATGTATTCATTTTGTATATATTAGCTATCATTGGTAATCAGTGGGGGAAGACAAGGGAAAGGGATGCTCTTTGAAAGCACGGCTGATGTGTCCTGATCAGTCTCTTTAGACTGGTAGTTTTTCAAAATGGGGTTCAGTTGTTGAACCACTCAGAATACCTCATGTGTAAATAGAGTTGTCATGACTTAATCGAAATGCATTCAGTATTTTTGTTATTATTATTATTATAATTTTTAAAAGAGCCACTGGCTGGCTTGCCTCTTCAGGCCTGTCATTCTTGCCTCTTTTTGTAACTTTTTTTTAAAGTAGAGTTTACAGCTAGAATTTTGAATGCCAAAGTTCTATTTATTGAATAATAAAGGTTTCTTTAATTACTAGTATTTTTCCACTCAATTTGTTTGTTTGATGTTTAAGTTTTGTATTTACAGAGCAAAAATAAATTTTGTTACAAAATCTGAACATTTTCTTGTTTACTGCTAATTGAAATTACAAGGTGGGTGATCATGCTAAATGCCATGTAAGTATTCATAAAGTGCATCTTTGTCTCCCAAAACGGAGAAGGGGTATGAAAAGGAAATATTGGGCACCCACTTGTATGAATGGAGCCTCTTAACATTAATGTAAGTCCACCAGTGGAAGAACAATGAAGGGCAATGTCACCCAATTCCCCCTCTTCACTGCAGCCTCTAGTGCTATATCACATTTTATCCACAAGAGTCCTGTGACCCTTAGCCTCAGTTTCTCAGAGCTCATGAGGCTGCTAAGGAAAGGGGGAGGTGGGAAAGATCCATATCTACAAGGGCCCTTGTGCTCAGAGTTGATGGGAACCAGCCCTTTGTGTGGCATGAATGAGCCCTCAGAACACCAAGTACAGCCTTTGATATGCCTAAAAAATCAACCAAAACAAAAAGTAGGGGGAGTCAAAGATGTATAGCTGGTAGAGAATTGCATCATACGTTTCTTCTTTAAGGCTTATGCTATCTTTTGATCATATTTCTACTCAGAAAATTCTGAAAATGTTTCTGGTACACTTTATGGCCACAATCCAGGGCAGCATGGTCTTAGCCTCAGTGATTTCTGATGAAATTTAATATGCTTATGGCTGTGATTGGTTATAGCTGATTTGTGTATTTTTTTAAAAAAATCTAAGCAAATGTCTACAAGTAGCAAGTTAATAAAATTTAAAAATGCAATTAAAAATGAAACAATTAATCCACTGGCAGAGTGTGAAAATATTAGGAAAATCTGACTGTAAGAATTTTAGGAAACCTGGCAAAAAAAATTAAAACATCTGTTTAAAACTAAAGGCTCATATCCAGGCATATCTATCAGAGAACGTTCCAAAGCTCTAGCACCATTAT